TTTATTTTAACATTGCATATGTTAATTCGGTTTTAGAAATGCAAATATATTGATTGGCATTGAATATGTAATTGAACTGTGGAAAACTTGTGTTGAAATTTTTGAATTTCAAGGGAATGCATGTTGATGACACATGTTGTAACATATGTTGTAATTTGCCTCATGAAAAGAGATGGAACGCCTGGTAATGAGTCAAGTCGATAAATATTGAATTGTAATATGGTTGAGAATTGAGAAATCGTATTTTTGAAACTTATTTATCTAATTTCGGGGACGAAATTGTTTAAGGGGGGGGGGGAGGTTATAGCGATCCCGGCTTTCCCTTCATTGTTTAATTGTATTTTAGACTCGGTTCTGTGGATGTGTTGTTGTCTTATTCTTGTTTTCATCCTTTACTCTTTGTATATGAGTCTTGGGTCGTGTTGGGCAGGTTTGAAATAGGTTGGTTGTGTTTGGAAACCAAGGGTTGATTTTGGGCTTCACGCTCGAGCAGGGCTTTTGACGCTCGAGCGGACCTTTTTGTATATCAGTCCGAAAAACAGCTTTTTGGATCACTTTTTCAGGCCATTCTCTCTCTCTAACTTTTCGAAGCTTATGCATGATTATACTAGATTCATCTCATTAAGTAAGATACATGTACATCAATTAGATGGTGACAAATTATTGATGAATGCACCTATATATACAATGTATTGAAGACTGATGCTAATACATTGAATGTGATGGATTTATTATGAATGAATCTTAGAGATGCATTATGTATATATTATGAATATGCAAGAATCATTAATCTATCTAATGAATTCATTAATATAGAAGATGCATTATGTATCATGAATGTATGAGATGCATTAATCTATTTAATGAAGTTCATTGAATGAATAACTTGAGAGTTTCTCTCTCTAGACTACATCTTCTCTCTATAAATACATCTAGTTCTAGTGATCTTCTACCCTAGTTCCTTTGTATTAAGTGTGGAGCTTTCCTTGGCTTGCTCTTCATTTTGATTAGAAAATTATTAGGTTTGGAGCACCTTCGAAATCCTTCATCTTCTCCATTTGGTCTCTCCATTTGAGGTAGGGATAACTACTCATTTTTTATGATATTTGACATAAACTTTTGGTCATTTTGATTTAATGTTGGAGTTGAGTAATTTTGGGCTTTAGGGTTTCAAAATGAATAAAGAGGGGTTTTGTTATTTTGACCAATACATGTGTATTTTGGGTCTTAAAATGATGGTATTGATGATTAGTAATGATATTTGAGCCTTTGGGTCAATATTGGAAAATGAGGGAGAAAAACCCTTATTTTTAATTTATTAATTTGTATAATAAATTTTGGAAAGATATTGAACTATGAAATTGAGTTGGAAATAATGAAATTGGGTAGTTATGAGATGAAATGGTGTAGTTGGATTGTTTAATCACTCACCTTTGAAATTATTGATAAATTATCTATTTAATGCATTTATTATCTGTTTAGAAATAATTGCTTTGGACTATCGGTAGAGGATAGTCTTGATAGTTGTAGACACTGCATGATGATTAGGTGAATTATAACCAATCGGTTGAATATATCATTGAATATGACGGTTGAAATAATACATCGAATTTGTGTTTTGATTGATCGTGTATATGATAATTGTTTATATACATTGTATTGTATGAGAGAAGATAGAGGATGTACTCCACGGTTTAGGAGAAGATAGGGGATGGACCTCTAAACCGGATTTTGTTTGAGAGAGATAGGTGATGGACTCTATTGATACAACACTAAAATGTGTATCATTTACAAAGTATGGAAGTGTTTTTATGTCTTTATTGATACAGTACTGAAATGTGTATCATTTGTGAAATATGGAAGTGTTTTGTTTGAGATTGATACAGCACCAAAATGTGAATCTATTGTAAAGTATGAAATGTTGAATATGAGTTTATATCTCACCTGAAATAGAAATACTGTTGATATGAGATGTAGTCTCATTTAAATTGTTTGGCCAAGTTCTAAGCCATAGTTGTCAATTGAGTATTGGTAATAAATGAAAATGGAATAATTCATGGACATTTTAGTCATGGAGTTGAAATGTGTTATAAGCGGATATAACTAGGTTAAACATTTATCGAATGTTAATGTTTTAGTTATTGTTCATATTATGTTTAGCATATCTCTACTGGGCGTTGGCTCACCCTATATGGGACATCATTTTCAGGTACATGTATGATGCCACCTCCAAGGACGTAGCTTGGGAGGCGTGTGGCTGTTAGATTACGTTTTGTTGTTTTTGTTGTATTACATGCATGTCGATCCTAAGGCTTATTTTGTGTAGAGTTAGCACTCTCTTTTTGTAACCAAGTGTTGACTTGGAAAGTTGTAAGCCCATAGGGCAATTACTTTTATTGTCAACATGTAATACACTTTGTAAGAATACTCTGATGATTGTAATATAATATCTCTTTTCTGTACCTTCAATGTATGATATTATGGGTTTATTTTGAGGGCGTTACACATCACTTTCAGGTTCAGGTGATATGCAACCTCCAAGGACATAGCTTGGGAGGCCTAGTGACTGGAAGATTTTTTTGATGTTATCTTTGTGTTACATGTAAATCAAGCCAATGGCTTATTTTGTATAAAGAGTTAGACACTTTGTTGAACCCAAGTGTTGACTTAGAAAGTTGTAAGCTCGTAGGGCATTTACTTTTGTTGTCAACATGTAACACTTTTGTAGTAAACACTCTGATTTATGGAACGTGTTGTCCGTTTCTTGTATCATGAATGTATGAATTATGGGTTTATTTTGAGGGTGTTACAAAAAAACTTAACTTTTGCCGACCAAAATCGGATTTGGTCGTCGAAGATGCACTTTCAGCTACCAAAATTTTGATCGCCAAAAAATTTAATTCCCGCCTTAGCATTTTAGTTCTCCCGCTCTAAAAATGACCACTTTTGGCGACTAAACTTATTTTTTAGTCGCTAATTGTAGACTTTTGGCTACTAAAATTTTTTTAGTTGGTAAAACCCATATAATCAGTGACCAAACTTATTTTTAGTCACCAATTGTAGACGTTTGGCTACTAAATTTTTTTAGTCACCAAAAAGCTTTACCTTGTGCTACTAAAATTTTTTTTGTCACTAAAACCCATATAATCAGCGACCAAACTTAGTTTTAGTTGCCAATTGTAGACTTTTGGCTACTAAAATTGTTTAGTCGCCAAAAAGCTTTACTTTTGGCTACTAAAGCTGTTTTGGTCGCTGAAAGCTATACTTTCGGCGACCAAATTTTTTTTGGTCAGGAAATTTAGTCGCCGAATGTGCTTTTTCCTGTAGTGTATATTGAGTTTAATTTATTTATTTTTAATCATTTACTACATTTTAAAAATTTAGAAAATATATTGGCATTTTTTATTTTTTCAAAAATGCCATTATAAGCTTAGAAAGTTTTTGGCTTAGTGGCATTTCTCAAAATGCTATAAAAATATTTGTTTATGACACTTTTCACTTAAGTACCATAAAAAGTAATTTGCACCTACCTAGTGTCTTGTCATTTTTTTAAAAATGCCATTGCGACTAAAGTTTAGTGGCATCTGTTGGTAAATGTCACGAACATAATTTTGTCATTATTTTATAAAATGCCATAAAATTGATGTGACATATCTTTATTAAAATGCCCCTAGAGCCTTATATGTTTGTGGTTCTGTGGCATTTTTCTAAAACATTTAATGCCAATTTTTATTTTTGTGGCATTTTCTAAAAACATGCCACTAGTGTCACTAAAGTGTAAATTTGTTGTAGTGACATTTTTATTGTAGTGAAGTGACACTTTTTTTAATTGAAATGCCACTAGAGCCTTATATATGTTTGTGGTTCTATGACATTTTTCTAAAAAATGCCACCAAATATTCTTTTTGTGACATTTTTTAAGAACATGCCACTAGTATAGTGTCACTAAAATGTGTTTTTGTTGTAGTGAATAAAAAATAAAAAATTCTATGATACAAACCTTCTCCTGAAATAAATATTATATGCTTCAATTATGACGTTTGGAAATAAGGTTACATATGGTACTTATCATATGTTACAAATATCATAATTTGACAACAGTGAAGTTGTATATACTACAATGACCAATAAAATAAAATAAAAATAACCTATATATATTGTTATCATGATAAATGGACTTTTGCTTTCTTTCTTTTGTAAATAAGTAGTGTATTATTACAAAAAGAGAAAAGTTATGGATCATGAATTTTTTTTTATGAAAATGATCATGAAAGAGTTATGATCTTTGGATTACCTTGATTAGTGTGTAGTGTTTTATTCTAAAGTATAATCCAATGATTACAAAACTTTCATAATTATTTTCATGAAAGATTTTTCATGATACCTAACATTTCTGTTACAAAAATAATGCATGAAAATACTCCAGACACAATTAAAGAGCCTGACAAAGCCATGCGTTAAAAGGTTCCACGTTCCAAAGAGAAATAAAACGAGATATCTAACTATCTTAGTAAGAAAGAATACCCCTCATACTATATGTCAAATGCAAAAAATTAAAAATTAAAAAAAAAAACAACACATAAAAACTAGCAAACATTATGATTCAGATTCCGGGAGGAGAATAATCTTCCCATATATGGAGCGACTGACTAATAGACTATTCCACACCTCATAGTTCTTGAAGATTGGTATTTCTGTTAAAAATTTTCAAAAGCCTGAATTTTTTGTCTTAATAACCAAAATATTTGCAACAATTTTATCCCAAGAAAACTATAGAGAATGATTTCCAACCCGTTTTCAATTAGTAATGCAATTATGGTATGCTTATAATATTTTAACAGCTCTACTAGGAAGGAACACACAAGAATTTAAACCCCCAATCCCGCAGTATACTTGACACCGGTTTTTTTTTTTTTTTTTGAACACCCAAACTTTCAATTAAAGAGGATAATGGGAAACATCAAAGTAAGTATGGAAGCAAGAGGAGCAGGTGGGCATACAGCCCAATTTACAGGTAAGGCCTTAGAAAGACAAGCCTTGGCAACCCAGTGTACTGCTTCATTGTTGTTTCTGCTGGTCCAGGAAAAAGATAAGGAGTGTGTGGAAATAAGTCCTCGAATGTCCAGAATAATGGCACTATACTCCCATGGTGGAACCGTTTCGGATACGCAGAAGGAGATCACCGATTTGTTGTCACTTTCGATTTCCACTCGCGAGAGATTAAGTGCTTTAGCCATAAGACACGCTAGACGCACTGAATGTGCCTCAGCTTGTGCTGTAGACGAAGCCTTGCAAGTTTGAGCACAACCAGTCAGAAGGTGTCCCTTTGAATCTCGAAGGATTACAGCCAAGGCAACTGATGAGGAAGACTGACAGAAAGCTGCATCACAATTGAATTTGACGCTAGTGTGGGAAGGTGGCTGCATTTTGGGAGGGATATCAAGAGCCCAAATGGAATTCCAAAAATCTGTACTAAGGGTGAGAGATCTGGAGGGCTTATTAGAACCATTGGAGTTGTGGCATATCTGCTTTGCTAAGGCATAGCCTGACGTAACGAAATAAACTCCCGATGGATTATGGTGCCATATTAAAAGATCATCTCTGTTAACCGCTGCAATTGGGATGGCAAGAACAGCCTCTAAATCTTCTGGCGAAAGCCACTCTTTGAGAAGTTCACGCTTCCATATTTTGCGATTGGGGTCAATAACTTCAGCCACTGTTTGAACAGTACAGTGAGGTGGTTTATGGGAAGCAATTTTGAAATCGTTAGTAGAGGGTACCCACTTGGCCTCCCAAAAGTGTGCAAGGTTGCCATTTTGGATTGATGGCAACCAATCATTTCCTAGAATGAATTGACCCACAGAGAAGTTGTAGGCCTGAGCAGAGTCATTCATGGTTTGGAAACCTGGCCACTTGACCCGGCTACCCAGTCCCGCCCCTGGCCCATTGTTCATAAACTCACCATAGAAGAGGGTATCCAGTGCGAAATTCCCATTCCACTCTATCCACCCTTCCTGCCTTATGGCGTTGCTCCTGTACGATTGCATGATGACTGTTCGCGAGTAGAGCTTCCACGGTCGTCCAAGGTATGTGTACGTGGAGTTCAATGAAGCTAACAAATCTGGCTCCGCAGATATGTTGGAGAATTGGATAGAGAAGCCCGAGGACTCACTTGGGTCTTTACGACCCTGGGCGGTTACGGTGTTCTTTTGATCAGGCAGGCCTAACCTGGCTAGGATTCGGCAATTTTGGAACACGACAGTGCCGTCGCCAAATATGAAATCCACAGTGCCGGTGATCTGGCATTCTCTGTAGAATTGGCGCAAGGAGTGCGCGTAGAGTGTGTCTTGGTATCCCCTTATAGCACATCTAAACAAAACCGACAAGTCAGAGTCTGATCGGAATGCAACTGCTTGGTGCTTCTGCGGTCTTGCTGTGTTCTCGAATGTCATGTCACGTGCTATGAAGCCTTGGTCATTAAGAGCTGGTCGCCCCAACAAAATAAAAATAAATTAGTTTATGGAAGCACATCTGATCCGATTAGTACTCGTTACAATATTAGAGCTTGAATTACCAATTGTCCCAAGAGTTGGATGCGGGTATTCCATTCTACATAGCATGGAAAGCTCCAATTGCAATTGTATCTTCAACGTCGTTATTTTTGCCCATTATTTTTAAAATATAATTGTCCTATTATATATACATATAAAAATCGAATTGGATCAAATTGGATTTTTATAGACGAATTCAAATTAAATGCAATCCATTGAGAAGGATTGTCCGATTAACTTGCTCCATTCGTGTTAGCTAAATATATATATATATATATATAATCTCCGTCTTTCTCCATTTCTCTCTTCTTCAAAAATTTAAAAATAATTATTAGAAGTTGCTGGCTAGAATAAAAACATTACTATTGAATGATGTCTTAAAAATGATTTCAAGTCCAACTAACTAAACAAAAAAGAATGAGCAATGTTATGGACTAGAGGAAAAAAAAAATGGCGAAAATCATGTCAAAGTCTTTTTCAATCCATCGATCCTATACGTTTTTTGGTTGTCCAATGATAGCTTGCATATGTATATGTTTTGATGGTACCAGCCACCAAATTCTTGAGGAAGAGGGAAGGAGTAATACCATACATACCATTGGGAGACTGAGAAGCAGAGAGAGTACGGGTCAATTTGTCAGCGGAGAGATCGAGGAGATCAAGGCAGTCGGCAATGGCCTTAGAAAGGTGAAAATTACTGAATGCACCGGCCAATCTGGAGACGAGGGAGGCCACTTTTTGTACCACTGCGATGGTCAACCTCACTGAAATTGCAAACTCAGCGAATCTGGAGACGAGGGAGGCCACTTGTTGTACCACTTCGATGGTCAACCTCACTGAATTTGCAAACTCGGTAAATCTGGAGACGAGGGAGGCCACTTGTGGTACCACTTCGATGGTCAGCCTCACTGAATTTGCAAACTCGGTGAATGTGGAGACGAGGGTGGCCACCTGCTGTACGATGTCGACGGTGGACCTCACTGAATTTGCGAACTCTGAAATTGGAACCTTCAACAATTCTGATTCAACCAAATCAGAACTAGAGCTACCAAGTGAGGCTGACATACACACTACCACTGACAAAAACAACGGCAAGAAGATGGAGGGACGTGAAGGACCCATTTGATATGATATGTTTCGAAGGAGAAATGGGACGTAGCAAAGGGACCGTGTAAGGGTTTTAGGGAGTCTCTCAATAGCTATGGTTGGTAACTAAGATTGGAATCGTTGGTGCGTGTGTGAGAGAGAGAGAAGCTTTGCTTTTAATACTAGACTAGATGTGTAATTTATGTATGAACATTTAAATATGAGCGGGAGAGAGAGAAACGTAATAAATAGAAAATGGGATATTACCTAGAAAATCTATGCATTATTACCTAAAAATAAATAAATAAATATATAGAAAACGGGAAGGTCCCTTTAAATTTGGTTCTGTACGAAGCACTTTCCAAATGAATATCATTGACACTTCCTATTTTTTTGGATTTTTTTTTGGTATTTAATATTATTGATTTGTTATTATTTGGGTAAATTAAACTTTACCACTCTCAATAATAATAAATAAATTTACATTTCTAAAGGGATCGTTTAGGATTTTCTAAACTATTTTAATTAATTTTAAAATTTTTTTATAAAAAAAATTTTAAACATAAGAATAATAATATGACAAAAGGGGTATAATTTTAGTCGGGCTTGGGCTAGGCTACCCACTACTCGGCCACACGGGGCTCCTACCTTTTTTTCGGACCAGTTCTGGGCTGAAAAGTGGGGCTCAGACTCAATCCCAATCCTACTCAGATTAGGGCCTAAGGCCAAGGCTCTGGCCCGGGTTGCGGGCCCAGCCTTTTTTTAGCAAAAAATAAATGATAAATATATTACATATATAGATTATTTATGAGGGATAAAAAAATAAAAGAAAATTTTTACTAAAGCATTTTAGTTAAGATTAATGAAATGTTTGATTATGTTTTATGTGGTGGTATTTAACTTTAATTATGTATGTCTTTTTTTTTCCTTTTTTTTTTTTTTTTAGTGGTTATGACTAAAAAAGTATAAAATTTTGTAATTTTCTTCTTTTAAAATAAATAATTTTATATGTATCAAAATGAAACTTTCAATATTACAATCATTAGATTAAATAGATAACATTTATTGAATGAATAACTTTTCTTTCAAAATGAAATAAAATATTACAAAAATTTATATCATTAAATAAAATAGATGTAAATTATTGATAATGGTATATCAATTACATCACAATAGGTTAAATACATCCCAACTAGGTTGACACCTACTAGCCTATCAATCATTTGTATTATACTCTACCTCAATAATCTAATACCAAAAAAAGAAAAAAAAATTAAAATAGTGAAAAACAAATTGTTGATCAATCATTGGAGAAGGCATACAATTTACTTGCGTTGTCCGAAAATATATCATCCAAATTACTTTGAATTCTTTCTTTCTTACTATAATTTTGTCTTTTTATTAGCGCATGCATATAATTTTTTTATTCATTTCATAGAATAATGATATTTTCATATTTAAAAAGGTGAATTATTTGAATAATACACCGGTTTCGTTTCGAAAGTGCATTAGCTTTTTAATTTTTTTTGATTATTTTAGTATAGGATTAAAAAGTCTTGTTTGGATTGGATTTTTTGATTTTTTTGAATTTTGTAAAAGAAAAAATGAAATAACTATGATTTGGATATGACATTTTATCTTATTAATTTTTTAATATATTTTATCTATTTATGCATTTTATGACTATTTTAGTTTGGTAACCCCATGCCAAATGAGGGACTGTACAAAAGATTTCCAAATGTATAAATTTTTATAGGAGAAGGTTAGTCACATATGGATGGCGTGTCATCTCCAAAAGTATTACTATTGTGTTTGATGAAAAAGATGTGGTAAAAAAATTATATATTTATGATTTATGATTTGCTTATATGAATACCGTTTAGAAAATGAATAATGTCAAGTTATGTATATATTATATGGTAGTATATTTTTTGTTAATTTGGGACGAAAATTATTAATTAGGAAGTAAATTTGAAAGCTTAATCGATGAGAGTCAAAATAAAAAAAAAAAAAAACAGAGGCCAAATATAAAAAATTATATAAACAAAAAGCATAATATGAAAATTTATGTCACGTCCCACTTCATATGTACCAAGTCAATTACTAAATTCATTGAACTAATAACAACTTTCAAGATAAACATTGCGAATAAACTTACATTCATCCGAAGAATGATTTACAATACTCCTCATTCGTTAGCAAATTAAATATACATTTAACATACTTAATAAATTACCCTTGGGCTTGTAGTCCTTAAGGACCAGAAAAGGTTAGACCCTTTTCAACAATGGCATCCGCAACGAATAACTAGGCCCCGTGCCAGTAATAAGGTAACC